CGAAAATATTCATTTAAATTACATGCTGTAAAGAGCCATATTGATCTATATTAAATGCACAATGTATTTAAAAGTACTTAATTGGATAAGGATTAATGCTGTATTGCTTAAAATCGCTTCGTAAATAAGCCATTATTTCTCGTAAAAAGTAAAGGATAAAAAATGGTTATTGTGGGTTATCCCTAAGAGATAGACATATACCATCCCGGACTTTTTTGTAGACCTTTTTAAAGTGTACAATATTGTAGTATATTATTTTGATCTATCTCGTAGGGTTCAGCCAGCGTTTGCAATGTAAACACAAAAATATGTGTTTATTTACGACATCACATTACAAGCCTCTAAAATTATCAGTGTTTCTCTACTATATTATGCATGTATTATACATATAAACCTTCCTCTTGAATTACTCTATCTATTTAAAAGAACCGCATTAAAATCCGCTACGTAGTTTTAAAGATGTAAGCATACATAGGGACAGACAGCGGGGGAAATGCGTTGCATGATTTCGTTACATAGCAACTCGCCTTTACCGTGCGTAAAGTAGTTTCACTTCATAAATAGAATTGTTTTCAGTAATTGATAAAAAATACGAAGATCCAGATCATCTAATAGGATTTGATTACTTTTTAGATGGATTATGTTTTAAAAGAAACAGATAATCAAGTGGAAAACGAACGTAGATATTTGAAGAAGTTGGACTCACTTGCATATTTCAAAAGTTTCGAGGAGTACTCCAGAAATGCGATAAATATAGAAATCGGGAGTTTAACAAGTGAACTTGAAGAAAACGTGGAAGAGATGAATAAATCATTCAATCAACTCCAAGAAACCGAGAAGATTACAGGATCGGGTCTGATTACTTTAAGAACTGGAAAAGAAATTCCACAAAAGGTAATCCAAAAACGTACATACTTACTTATTTTTTAAGGATATTCGGGAGGTACAATCGGAGACAAGAGTACATAAAATTAGAAATTCGTGATTAATTAGGTTTTGAAGCATATCATGAGGTAAATAAATACTATCTATACTAAAAAAAAGTATACGGTTTGAGAGAAAATTTGGAATTTGACTGAAAACTGAATAAAATAAGAAATAACGAATAATATGGAAAATTTT